GCCACCTGCGTAGTGGGCCCAGGATCCGAGAACCCGAGCTCCTGAGGAATGCTGGTGTCTTTACCCAGTGTGGCATGTGACCCTGTCAAGCCACCACCTTCCCCGTTTTCTGTTTTTTTTTCCTCAGTGATACAGGCAAAACAGTTCTTGATCTCTTCCTTCTGACCTCCTCCGGCCTGGATCAAGTGTGTTCGCCAGGCCAGGAGCTCATGGATCTTCACTCACTCTGGCTCTGGGAGTCACCAACACGCTGACCGCAGAGCCAGAAGAGAAGAACGAGGAGCTGAAGTTTTTTGGTTAATGGGTGGGGGTGGGGTGGAGAGTCAGACAAGGCAGGAAGTGTCCACGCTCCCCTCGGTATTTACTCTTCCACGTTAGCTCAAGTGCCACCCAGTGGTTCGCCAGGGGAAGTACACCTCCCCAAGCCACTTGACCAGATGGGCCCTGCTGGGAAAGGGACCGTCTTCCCTGGCTAGGAGATCCCACCACCCAAGGTCAGACCTGTAGTTGCAGTGAGGTCCCAGGAGGTTCCACACGTCCAGAAGGCCCCTTTGATCTCTGCTGTCACCATGGAGGCTGGGATCCTCGCCGCAGCGGTGCGGTGGCCCTTTGGTTAGATGGATCAGAATTGCTGGGTCCTCATTTCACCACGCAGAACCTCTCCACTCAAGTTCCCATGCTTCATCTTCCTGTCCAATGGCCAGCTTAGAGCGCACACCTTGCTGTCTCTACAGGTGGAAAAGCTGGCGCGGACCCTGTTCTTGTGGAAGATTGAGGTCCACGACCAGAAGGAGCGTGTCTACGAGATGCGGCGCTGGAACGAGGCCTTGGTCACCAACATGTTGCCCGAACATGTGGCACGCCACTTCCTGGGGTCCAAGAAGCGAGATGAGGTGAGGGCAGCCTGGAGCCATGAGGCTGTGTGTCTTCACCTGGCTTTCTGCCAGGGAGCACCCCTGAACCCAGACCTCCTTGTGGCGTGGCGGTGGGCCCTGCTACAAACGTCGGATTGTGAGCCACACTCCCGTGAGGCCCCGTTTCAGCAGACGGAGCCCAGGCTGGAGCCTACCTCCCCGTCAGCTGTGGTCTTCTCTGCAGAATGCTGCTCGCAGCCCCCTTCCCGACTCCCCTCCACCCTCGCACTCGGGGCTGTTACAGGGAACAGAGAAGCTATTTTTGAATTAGTCAAAGTTGTGACGAAAGCTTCTTTCTAACGATGCAAAGTTGGGACAACCCGGGAGGGATGACCTGTTGTGGGTGTGGAAGATAAATTCATTTCCATAGCACACTATTTAATCAGAGCTTCTTCGAGCACCGTGGCCCTGCCTCTTTCCAGGAGCTGTATAGCCAGTCTTACGACGAGATCGGAGTCATGTTCGCCTCCCTGCCCAACTTTGCCGACTTCTACACAGAGGAGAGCATCAATAATGGCGGCATTGAGTGTCTGCGCTTCCTCAATGAGATCATCTCGGATTTCGACTCTGTGAGTGTCCATCTGCCGCCCCCCTCCTGCCACAAAGCTGGCTGGTTCCCAATGATGCCTCAGAACGGGCTGCAGCAGTCAGAAGCTGGAGCTGCTCTGGCTGGCCATGGTTTCCCACACAAGCCCCCTCTACCATGTACGGGCCTCTGCAGCCGTCTAGAAAGGCGGGCTCTGAGGGTGTGAGACAGGAACTGGGAAGTCACCTACAAGTTCACAGGACGAAGGGCGGCCAAGGCAAGGTCCCGGGTCCCTCTGACTCCCCTACCTCCAAACTCAGATTCATTAAACGCTGAGTCACTTGTACATTAAAGGAAATGCTTTTACCCACATGTGCAACCACCACTCTAGGAGACAGGCAGTTTTATCCCGATATTATGGTTGCAGACACTGAGGCTCAGCAAGACTGCTTAAGGTCATGTGGCAGATAAAGGGCAGAATAAAGCTTTTCTGTGAAAGCATCTCTTGGATGTTTTGTGGGATCATTGTAAACAGATAAATCTGTCATTTAGTTGGCTCATCCATCTCAGTTGCTGACAGTTTTCCTTAATACTGGCTTTAGCTTCTAGACAATCCCAAATTCCGGGTCATCACCAAGATCAAAACCATTGGCAGTACCTACATGGCAGCTTCAGGAGTCACCCCAGACGTCAACACCAACGGCTTCACCAGCTCCGACAAGGTACTCCACCTGCTCAGCGGCCGGAGAGCAGATGGGGCTCTGCCTCCTGAGGCGAGAGACAGGCCAAGCACGTGGGGAGCCAGAACTTAGGAGAGTAGCTACCGTTAGGCACTGCTGCACAGAGGTACTTTGCACTAGTGCAGACACACGCCACTGGGAGCGAGCAATGCAGACCTGAAGTCGGGTTCCTAAGACAGTGTACACACCGCAGCCCACCGCTGCCCCTTGGCCCGGGGCCGGCACGCGGTGCTGTGGGGCTGCGGCCACGCTCCCTTCAGTGCTTTCCTGAGGACGCGGCGGCAGGACCATCTGCCGAGTCATGCCGCGGTGAGCACGCCCAGACTGGGGACGCGGTTCTGTTCCGTGAAGCCAGACCCGGGGAGCCAGCTCTGTGTACCCCCCAGAGGGAGAGGAAGTGACACGTGAGGGCCCTGGTCTCAAGGGCTCTTCTTACACCACCACCACCCTATTTCATCTTACAACTGCCACCTCCACTTTACGGATGAGGTCAAAGAAACATGCCTAATGCTCAGGGCTCATGATCTAGTTGAGGAATCAGAACAAGGACGACTGTCCCGAGTCTCAAGACCAGGTTCAGACAAGGTGCTGAGACACGGCTCCTGAGCAGGCAGACACACAGCAGGCAGGGGGGCTGGGCAGGATCTGTCTCCCCACCACCGCCGCCGCCCAGTCTCTGTCACGGTGACGAGTGGGGGCTAAGGAGGGCACAGGCTCCTTTGTGGAAAAAGTAAAGACTAGGCCTGGACCACCTCGGGAAGGGACCGCCCTGCAGAACGTGCGGGAAAGGTGAGGCTGCTGCTGCAGTGGGCCCTGACCAGCCCCTGATGCCCTTGCGGCTGCTCTCTGGTGCAGGAGGAGAAGTCCGACAAGGAGCGCTGGCAGCACCTGGCCGACCTGGCCGACTTCGCGCTGGCCATGAAGGACACGCTCACCAACATCAACAACCAGTCCTTCAACAACTTCATGCTGCGCATAGGTGAGGCCCTGGGCCCCACTCCGACACAGGGGACGCAGCCAGTCAGCAGGAAGGCCAGGCCTAGAGGGACCTGTCGAGTTCGGGCTGGCGAGGGTCGTATGCTCCTAGAGCTGGAAGGCACCTCAGGGACCTTCAGTCCAGGCTGTTCTAGATGAGCAGACTGGAAAGCTGGCTGACGGAGTTACAGTCTGGCTACGCCTGTCCCCGTGTTTACCGTGATAGCTTCCTCTGGAGTCTGGCTGGGAAGTCAGTTTGCTGTCTACCTAGGGACTCTCCTACACCCGCCGAGGGCTCTGCTCACCTCTGCCCAGCCTCTTAAAAACCAGTCACCTGCTACCCACTACTGGGAATTTGGCGAAGGGCACGGGGTGGGGGGCGCAGCGGTTTCCTAATTTCTGATGAGGTCAAGGAGACAAAGTACCAGCTCTGTGTTAGGAGCTGGCAACTTCTGTGCTAAGCTAATCAGTATGCTGGGTGCAGCTGACAACTTGCCAAGCGCATGGTGAAGGCAGGGTAAATAGGAGACGTGAATTCTGCCCTCCAGTAGCTTAGACAGGTTTTAATGCGGAACATGTTACATAACCAGGAGCTTTAGGTGGGGGTCGGGTGGCACCGTCTGTGAGGGGCTGGCAGCTTCCCAGCGGAGGCTGGCGTGCGGCCTCACTGACCTTCACGCCTCTGCCCCAGGCATGAACAAAGGAGGGGTCCTGGCCGGAGTCATCGGAGCCCGGAAACCACACTACGACATCTGGGGCAATACGGTCAACGTAGCCAGCAGGATGGAGTCCACAGGGGTCATGGGCAACATTCAGGTCTGTGCCACGACAGGGCTGTGCTCAGATGCAGGGGGTGGGAACAAAACGGACACAGTGCGTGTTCTGCCATGCGCCGTCTCCTCCTTGAGGAGCGTGGCAGTGCTGCGAGGCAAAGGGCAAGAGTGGGGAAGGCGCCGCCTTGGCTGGGCACAGAGGGGAGAAAAAACCTCGATCCCGTTTGCAAAGCTTAGGTGGCGAGTCTCTGTGCTAACACCCTGCCGCGGGGCCTGGCAGCAAAGCCCCACAGGAGGGCAAAGGGCGGGGAGCAGGAGTGCCCAACAGTGCTGCCGCACACCGTCCACTGCTCTTGCCTCAGACTGTCCTGGGGGGAGGGGAGGGCCCCAGAAAAGCACCTGGGTTCCGCTGCTCCCTGGCGCGGGCAGTGAGGCGCTCGGCCCTGGGAGGCCTGGAGGGGATGCTGTGGGGGATGCTGCGGGAAGGGCGCTACCGTGTGTGGGGGCTGTCTGGGTGCCTCGGTCTGGGCCTGCTCTGACCCCAAGCTGTCGCACCGTCTTCTCCCTCTGCAGGTGGTGGAGGAAACGCAAGCCATCCTTCGGGAGTACGGCTTCCGCTTTGTGCGGCGAGGGCCCATCTTCGTGAAAGGAAAGGGGGAGCTGCTCACCTTCTTCCTGAAGGGGCGTGATAAGCCGGCCGCGCTCCCCAACGGCTCCTCGGTGACTCTCCCCCACCAGGTAGTGGACAACTCCTGAACAGCATCTCGCCCCCAGTGGTCCAGATGGGAAGGGAGAATGTCTGCTTTGGAACCAAGGGCCTTGAGGAAGGACGACCAACCGAGTCCCAACATTCCCAAACTGCTGACGTGCACACTCACATAGACGTTAGGTTTAAAACACCCTCCGGCCTTTTGCTCATGGACACGTGGGCTCCGACCAGCCCTGCTCCCCCAGAGGCCCCCGCCACTGTGAGCGACCGTGCACCAGAGTGGGCCAACGCGCCTCCGCCGCTGGGCTGGCAGACGTCGGCTACCCCTGTGCCCTGGAAGCGGCGCTCTGTTCCGAAGCGAGCTCAGGCTGGAGCCCAGCCCGTCCCCAGGTGGTCCGTGTTAGGTGGCAGGGCCCGCGTCCTGGTAATCTTGAAAGGTCCTCCTGGAACCCCCGCCACCTTAGTCACGAGAGCAGAAAGTGCAATATTTCCTTTTACCTGGTGGGAGGGAGGGAAAGGGAATTTATTTCTGAAAGAAAAGTATATCAACAGATCTTCTACATTTATATTTTTAACTTTATGTTAAAAAACACTTTCCGATATTGCCTTGCCTTTTGAGCTCTTGCTACCTTTGCCTTTGCTACTGCTTTAAAAGAGAATTTACAGGTATTGATAAAGAACAAGACTTTTATTAAAAGCTTTCTTCAACTTGAATGTGATCACTGTGAAAACCCTGTTAACCACCCCTCCACACCCCCCCCCCCCCCAGAAGTGCTTTGCTGACACACCACTGGTCCTTGCCACGTGCCGGGAAGGCACAAGGGCTTAACTACGACCCTTGTTCATTCTTCAGCTGCTTCTACACGGTGGTCCTAGCTGGCCTTTCCACTCCCCTGTGCTCCCCCCAGAGTCAGCTGCAGCTCCCACACTTCTAAGGTTACTTCCTGGCCACCAGGTCTAGAAAGGGACCGTTTTAAAGAGAGGGAGGCCTGAACACAGCTCTGTGTCCCGGGTGATAGTGACTCCTCCCTGTGACCGGCCACAGGGGGACAGGAACGGAAGTGGCACGGCCCGGCCAGCTAGACGGGCCTGGGCCGGGCCCGCACACGCTGCCTTCAGCCGAGGGAAGTGCCAGCAGGCGCTGGGCCTGAAGCTGCGAGAGGCCATGGAGGGAAGGCCTGCTGCCCCGTGCAACGCCTGGGTTAGGGGCGGGCTTCTGACCACGCTTCTTTAGGCTTACTTAGACTGTCAGCTCCCTACTGAGATGTTTCAGGAGACAAAATACGAGTGACCAAGAACCCTGATTATTTCACACACGGTGCTTCCTCCACACCATTCTCCAAAGGCAGGGTCTCGAGTTTACTGCTCCAAACTCACTTCCCTGCTTCACTGTTCCACTCATTTCACACAAACAGGGCATGCTAAGAACCTTATTTTCAAATGTCTCACGTAGGAAAATGAGGTGGAAGCAAGCGTTTATAAAAGGTAGAAGTACTTTTTAGTTGAAGGGTACACAGCCCCCTCACAAATGCCTTCTACTGCCCCACCGCCCGGGCTGGTGTTCAGCCAAAACGTGCGGTCAAGTTGCCGTCTCTAGGAACAGAGGATGCCGAGCACTTGGCGAGCGACCAGCAGGGAGACACACTGTCAAATGCCCACGTCTGTGGCCTCAGACTTGCCCCTCCATCGTCCCGGTGAGGGGGCTGTCTGTGTTCCTTGCGAGGATGTCCCCGGGCAAGGAGTCAGCCCCCCCGACAGTTTTCAGTCCCGCGATCCCGCCCGGGACTGTGTGCGGCGGTGGTTCGCTCACCTCCGACGTGCTCTCAGTGCGACACCCTAGTAGGCCAGCCTCAACTCCAGCCTTTCTTCTCCCCGTGCAAACGCAGCAAACACGCGATGCAGGGGCTTCGTGCGGAGCAGGTGCTCGTGGCTGGCCCGCTGCTCCTCCCACGAGGGGGGCGGCGTGTCCGTCCCTAAGAAAGACAGACTCTTTCAATCTCACCTAGCGCAACTGGGAAAGCCAGCACCCGGACCCCTGATACTCTAGACCCAGGTAACTTACTTTTTGGCCTGGAGCGGAGAGGCTGGCCTTCACTGGACCCATGTACTTTTGAGACCCCGAACTCAGAACAGACTGCCCAGAGAAATCAAAAACCTACAGCACAAAGCCTGCAGTGGCTTCGAAGTTCCCGTCTCCTAACAACATTGTATCCTACTTTTCATGATTACCGGTGTCACATTACTACGCCACATTTAACTGAAACAGGTCACAGAAAATCTCAGCCAGCTCTGAAAAATTTCCACCGAGAGAAACCTCTGGAGCGCTCCGTGTACACTGACTTGCCACGTCCATTTGGTTTTAGAGTGAAATGAGCCTTCTGGCTCCTCACCACGGTGACCCTGTGACTCAGCCGCATTAGCTGTCTCTTCAAGAGCAGTCTCCAACGAAAACAAATTATGAGCTGAAAGAACACTGGCTGAGTCGGAAGGACCAAAGGGGGGGAAACTATGATGACTGTTTACTGTTTACAAAGAGAAGAGGGAAAAATGGCAGAAACACAGAAAGCAGTACTTCGCTCTGTATTTTCCTGTTGATTGTACATAAACGGAAGAAAGCATCTCGAGAGGCCCACCTGATGTGTTCTACCTGCTCTGCCCTGCTTCCCTCAACCGGAGGAACCCAGAGCCCAGTACATTAGCTTCTCCACCGTGGCATCCTTCCCCTTACCTTCATACGTAACGCTGACGTCCGTTGGGAGGGTTACCGTGAGGTCCTTGTAGAGCAGCCTGGCACAGAATGGGAAGGCCTGGCCCCCCGGCTCCGCTTTGTAAGTGAACGACAGCAGATTGCACAGAGCGTTTCTCTGCAAGGGCCCCGCCAGAAAGGCTGCAAAGTCACTCTGATGGAGGTGGGGACGAAAACAGACACAGGCACGGACAATTACGGCTCCAAAGGCAGGGAGTGGCTGTGACACTTCAAACACTGTCTACCAAAAATAGGGCCCCGTTAATTGTTAACTGAATTCCAGAGAGAGAGAGAGAGAGAGAGAGAGAGAGAGAGAGAGAGAGAGAGAGAGAGGGAGAGAGAGGGAGAGAACAGAGAAAGGCGTGAAAAGAGGACTAGTGACAGAGAGCTGGAAGGCCTGTGGGAAGCACTAAGTACGTGAACGGCCAGAGCTTGGGGATGCAGGGCAGATACTATTTCTGCCAAGAATTTCGATGACTTCCTATAGGTGGCTGAGTGGCTTTGTGTCTGCATACACTTATCAATTTACCTAAATGACATCCAGGAGCTACGAAGTCATTCCAAATGCCTGCAGGGGAAACTCTAAGCCTGTAAGAGCCAATCATTTCCTATTGCATTCATTCCTGCCTCCCCTCCACGCCCCCAACACTGTCTCAATTGCAATCCTAAGAAGGTAGGGCAGAATTTAGGCAAAGATGCATAGTATTCCTCTGACATATTTCAGATTATTCTGCTTTGCATCTATACCCTAGGTTTAGCAAGGCGCTTGGTACACAGTGGGTTTTCTATCAATCCCAACTGGATTGTAAGTACAGCAACTGTACTCTACCACTTTGTGCCGGGAAGAAGGGGTCAAATACAAAAGCCTGAGGTCCACCACTGGGGAGTGAATAATCCCTGAATAACCAGTATTCTTGCTTCAGTATCATCCAGAGTTTCAACAGGGGAAGAGAAGAGTGGAAAAACAGCTTGTACACAAATAATAAACAAGTATTAGACGGATAATAGTCAGACTTCTGACTCAGCGATGAGACATTATAAAATACAAAAGAAAACTTGGCCTCCCCCTCTCCTATTTTCCTTAAGCCTATCCTGGGCTCATCAAACGCTACATAAGATCCCGGACAGGTACCTGCAGTCGATCTGCCTGGTACTTCCTCCCCGCGTAAGCGTTCAGGTGTTCGCAGAGACTGAACAGGAAGTGCCGAATGTCGGTCTGCAAGGACCTGGCAGCTATCTCCTCCAGGGGAATGAAGACCGGGACGGAATGGTGATGTATCCGAAGTGGTTTCTGTATGACGAGGTCCACGAAGTAGGAGTCCAGCAGGTTCCCCTGGAAGGCAGTCTGGATGCACACACAGACGCCCCGGCTCGTCAGCTTCCCGCTGAGCCCTGAGACAGACCGGATAACCGTGGTCCCTCAGCACCCGCCGGGCCGCGCCCGCACCCCACTCCCCGGCGCGCCCCAGGTGCTCCAGCACGACCTCGCACATACAGAACGCGCCCGAGTGGCCTTTGAACGAATGAGTATCAGTCTTTCAACACTGGCTCACTTTGAGTTTGAGTTGTTAAAGTCATGGAATGGTGGAAAAGAAAAAAACATCCTAAATACCAAATTATTGAGGAAAAGATTTTAAAATGTTCAATTTATCTACTCTTTTTCTCTGAGTGTCCAGTAATTTATGGCAGACCCCAGTTCTTCCCACAATCCTCTTGCGGCACAGATAACGGGGAGAATAAATCCCCATTTTAACTGAGGTGTTCAAACTCTTTGACCAGTGGCATAAAGCCAGTCGGCAGTAATGAAAGCTGCAGCACGGGATCTGGCACAGGCTGAATAGCAAAAAGAGTCTAAACCTACCCATCAATCTGTCGCACAGAGAGGCCAATATTGTAGGCAGAGATGCCCACGAACAGCAAGTACACTGCGGGGGCAAAACCGATGGTCAGGAAGTCAGGCCGGGACCAGTACCACCTCTACCAAACTAACTCCGCAGAGACCGCAGACCAGACCGAAACAGGCCAGGAAGACAGCATACCTGTAAAACGGTATGCTTGCAGAATGGCTTTCATGTCTTCCCATTTTCTTTCCAAAGCTTGCTCGCTGACCTGCAGTGCCTGGTCCGGTTCTGCACTGGCTTCCACCTGCAAGACAGGCGGGAAGTCAAGCTGGGCCCAAAGGGGCGCGACACGACGTCTCCGCCCGCGCTGCGAAGCCACGGCGGCGGAGGAATCCTGCGGGTCCCAGTGCTAGGAATCAGAGGCAGAAATTGTGCTGGCCTGAGTACTGTGCGAGGCGGAAAAGAGGGTGCGAACCAAGTCTAGTGCGAGCGCAGGGTGAGCAAAGCAGCTGTGACGGGGCAAGGCCAGAAAGCTGGTTTGGGTCGGGCTGCGCCAGGAGGAGAAACACTGACTCGAAGATGCCCACTCACAGCCGTGGCCCAGCAGCTGGTCTCGGCCCAGCAGCTGGTCTCGGCTCAGCTCCGCCTGAGGAGCCTACAAGCTGGAAGACGTTCCCGAAGGAAGCCAACATGCCAGCAAGCACACAGAACAGTCTGAAGGCACCAGAGAAACACCAAAGCAGCCAGACTGAAGGTTAAAGGTAAATGCTCTGCTTTTAGTTGGGTTTTCCCTGCAGCTTTCTCTCTCGGAACATTTGATTTGGATCTCAGAGCCTATGGGCCAAATAGAAAGCTGCAGGCCCAGCTCTGTAGCAGCGCCACCGAGACCGAACTGGAGGCCAAGGTTACCAGAGCAGTCCTTCCAGGGGCCAGGCTCCCACAGAAACGGGCACCCAGCCTTTTGCAGGCAATGCACCCTCCAGGCAGTTGCCAAGTCCTAAGTGCATGTGTGTTACCGTGTACTGAGAAACGAAACAAACACAGCTGAGAGTTAAGAAACTGAGCAGAGACTGTGGCGCAGAAAACTTGGGAGGTCAGAGCCTGCCAAGAAGAGGAGCCCCGACAGACCTGGCCCTGGGACACAGCCAAACTTTCAGGCGAGGGCCCTACCAGAAAGGACAGCGCCCTTGGAGCGAGGGCGCACCAAGGCCAGACCACCTCACCTGGATGAAGGTGATTTATTTCCCCACACACAGTTTCCCTGTCTGAAAACCTCAAGCTACCCTGGGAGGGAGAGATCACAATACAGAATCCCGATTTCTTTAATGTACAGTACTTATCGAACAAAAAAAAATTTTTTACGAGGTATATAAAGAAAAACAGATGACTGAAAACCAAGGAAAAAGACAAAAGAAACAGATCTAAGGCGATTCAACCCTCTGAGTTATCAGGCAGATGATATACATTAAATGATGCCAAAAGCCATACCAACGAGCCAGAATCTACAAAAATGAGTCAGATGGAAGCCCTAGAACCAAAAAATACAGTACTAAAATTAGAAATTACACATTGATATATTTTCATATCCAGATTAAATCCCAGAGGCAGAAATTAGTGAAAACATAGGTCACAGTAAAAACAAACAAACCACACACACACACAACTCCATACAAAGAGCCCCAGAAATAAAGGAAAAGAATGATGAAAATGCGTTAAATGAAAAACATGAGTTTAAGAAGCTCTACACACACTAAGTAGGCTAAAGAAAGAAAACCACTCCTAGCCCCATTATGATACAAAGTTGCTAAAAGCCAAAAACAGACAGAAGCTTAAAAACAGAGGAAAAAGACACACAGTCAAACAATAACGTACCTGATAGAAGCTACAGAGGTAGAAGACAACAGAATGCCATACCTAAACTATGAAAGAAAATAACTTCCGAACTGTAACTATCACCTAGCAAAAATATTCTTTAAAAACTGAAAAACATAAGGACAGGAAAATAAGGGTGTTTTCAAACAAACAAAACCAGAATTTATTGCCAGCAGGCTTATAATAAAAGAAGTACCAAAAGAAGCTACTTACGCCAAGGGCAGATAAGCCCAGACAGAAACCTCGAAATGCAGGAATGTAATAAAAAGCGCTGAAAAGGGTAACCGTGTATATAACCAGTGCCTGTACAAACAATAGAGATGTCCCTGAGAGTTTAAGCAGCTGTAGAATTAAACATAGGATGATACTAGCATGGCAGGTGTTGTGTTTGAGAGGAAAGTCAAAATGTTAGAAGGTTCTGTATTATCCAGAAAGTTGTGAAAGTACTAATTGAAAGTATACTCAAGTAAGAAAAAAGTTGCATGTTTTCTCTAGGATAACCACTGCAAGAATGTATAATTAATAAGCTAATGGAGAAGCCGAATAATAAAGAAATAAAAAGATCAGTCCAAAAGATGACAAGACGGGAGAAGAGAGAAACAGAGTAAGACACGACAGTAATGGGGTGGACTGGGGTACGACTGTATCAGTAATCACATGGAAAGGTCACAAACTAAATATTCCAACTAACAGAGACTGTCAGGCTGGATTTAAAATACCTAACTATATGCTACTTACAAGAGGAAGTATACCTTAAGTGGAAAGAAAAAAGCTGACCATGCAAACTCTAAACAAAAAGAGCTGTTGTAGTTACACTAACATTTGACAGAGTTGGCTTTAACGCAAAAAGTTTAACAAAAATAGAAAGGAACATTTCATAATCATAAAAGGCTTACTCAGCCAAGAAGACATAACCACCCTAAATTGGTTTGCACCTGAAGTACAGCACACACACAACTGAAGGGAAACCACCACAAACCCGCTGTCACACAGAGCGCTGACCCACGTGTCCCAGTAACTGATATAACACAAGCACAGTCGTGCACCGCAGAGTGACGTCCCAGTCAGGGACGGCCAACACGCACGACACGCACGACAGTGGTTTCGGAAGGTCAGAACGGAGCCGAAGAGTTCCCACTGCCAGGTGATGTCACAACTGTCATAATGTCACAGCGCCATACACCACTCCCGTGTTTGTGGTGAGGCCGGTACCAACAACGCCGTTCCCATTACAGAAAAGTACAGCACATAAAATTACGTACGTACGTAATCCCTGATAAGGACAAAGGACTGTTACTGGTTTGTGCATTACTATCTAGACTTTCCACCGTTATTTTAGAGAGCACAGCTTCTACGTATAAAAAATCTGCTGCAGAACAGCAGCTGTTCACTGCAACAGCAACGCCACACATCCCGTACTCACCATTATCTTTTTTTAAAATGCTTTTTACAACTTTGAAATATGTGATTCATGTCCCATATAATTTACCATTTTAAAGTATATAATGCAGTAGCTTTTAGTATATCCAGAGTTATGTATCCATCACCACAATCACGTTTTTGAACATTTCCATTACCTGAAAAGAATCTCCACACCTCTTAACTGTCATTCCCCCAAACCCCAGCCCCATGTGACCACTGATCTGCATTCTGTCCCTACAGATTTGCTTAGACTGGGCGTTTCATGTAAAAGGAATCACACGACATGTGGTCCTTTGTGACTGGCTTCTTGTACTTCATGTTTTCAAGGCTCACCCACGTTGTAGCATGTATCAATATTCATTCTTTTTATTGTCGAATCACATCCCATTGGATGGATACACCACATACTACGTCTCTTGACTGCACCATTTTCTCTTGTGTTTGATTTGGTCTCGTGTTGTTTTACAACTTCAGTGCAGGCTCGGTGCAGTGTTCCCGAAGTCTACGGTCGAGGCCAGTAACTTCCTCGGCTTTCACTCACTCACCACGGCTCACCCAGAGCAGCTGCCAGCTGCTCCATCCGTGGTTAAGTACCATATACAGGTACACCACTTTTTATCTCGTATGCTGTATTTTTACTGCATCTTTTCTGTGTTTAGGTATGTTCAAATACACAAATACCACTGGGTTACAACTGCCTACAGTCTCCAGTGCAGTGACCCGCTGTACAGGTTCGCAGCCCGGAGTGTAAGTTGCACCATACAGCCCAGGTGTGTGGCGGGCGACACCACCTGGGTTTGTGTGGGTGCCCTCTGCGATGCTGCCACAACAAAGAAATCACCTAACGATGCATTGCTCAGAACACACCCCACTTTAAGCGGCACATGACTGCAGACTAGTCAGCGAGGACATGAAACACTTAACATCCACCACGAGCGCACTGGGTCCGACCCGTGTACCGCCTGGCGCCTAACAGACGCAAAGTCCTCCATCTCACGCCGCACACGAAATCTGTTCCAGATGGCTTACAGTTCTAAAAGTGAAACAATAAAGCTTTTAGGAAATAGCACAAAATATCTTCATGATCTTGAGTTAGGCAAAGATTTATTACAGGAAACAAGAGCAGTAAGCATAAAATTAGATTCCTAAATCAAACCTCATTAAGACGAAGACTTTGTTTTCACCACAAGACACCATCCGAGAGTGAGAAGGCAAGCCACCGTGAGATTTGTAACACACACACCCAAGAGCTCTTATCCAGAATATGTAAAGAATCCTACAATTTAATAAGAAGTGGGCAACCCAATGAAACGTCTGCAAAAGCCTTGAGAAGCATACTTTATAACACAGGACTCTGAAGTGCCCAAAACAGGTACCTAACATCACCCCTTATCAGGCAAATGCACATTAATCCACAATGAGATGCTATTACACTCCCGCCGGAATGTCATTTTTAAACCGACAGTATCAGGTATAGAAAAAGATGTAAAACAATGGAACTCTTACACGCTATTGCTGGGAACATAAAATCGGTGCAATCACGTTCAAAAACTGTTCGGCATTATTTACTAAAGCCAACACGCATACCTGTGACCCAGCAATTCTACCAACTTCACCTGGTAGAAAAGTGTGTATTTTTACACCAAAACACAGGAACACAACTGTTCACAGCAGCACTATTCCTAATGGCATCAAAGTGAAACAGCCCCAATAACCCAAATGTCACCAATAGTCCAACAGGTAAACAAACTGGAAAATTCACAAAACAGTATCACTATGCAGCAATAAAGACAGCATGACAACTGCAGCAACAACGTGGATGAAACCTCAGACAAAACATTCAGCCAAAGAAGCCAGTTTTAACGTCCAACATCTATGCGAAGTTCAAAAGCAGGTAAAACCCAGGTATGACAACGGAAACCGAAAGACTGGTTACTTGAGGGAAATGACTGGAAGGGGCAGGAGGGAGACCTCCAGACACCGACAACACCCCCTACTGCGATCCGTGTGGCGCAGGTGTGCGCGCTCTGTGAGAGGTTCTGCATTTCATATAGACTTACATGTATTTGCATACAAGGGTGAAGGGAGTGAAGTGGGGAATGGAAGAGAGACGGGACAGTGAAGGAGGGGAAAAGGGGAGGCTGACCATATCCCACAGGCAGTGAACAGCTACTGAAGGTTTCCGAGCAAGGAAACGCTGCAGTGGTTTAGGAAGGCATCTTCTCGGCTGTGCAGGATTTCCTGGAAAGGTACAAATACCAGAAGAGAACCAACTAGCAGGCTGGCATCCCAATCACCTGGGAAATATTCATCAGTGCAGTGCGGTAACGTCCCAGGCTCTCACCTCACTTACCACTGATGCTTGAGATGTGGCAATGCTCGAGCTAGTGCAGTGGAGCGGGGGAGGAAGCGAGAGACAACATGAAGGAAAACTTGACAGTTCTTGCTGGCTGGACCTGGGCTAGACGGAAAACTCAAACCTCAGTTTATTGAGAGGTTTCGAGTCTGGGCAACAGAAAACGGCACTAATGACAAAAGTACCAATGGCTCACCCTGACCGGGTGGCTCAGTTGATAGAAATCATCCCAATGTGCCAAGGTCGTGGGTTCGCTCCCCAGTAGGGGTGCATACAAGAATCACAAATGAAAATGTAAGTGGAACAACCAATCAATATCTCTGTCTCTAAAAATCAATCAAAATTTTTTAAAAAAATGTACCAATGCCTCAAGTCAGGCTCAGATCGAGGTAACAGGTTCCTGTCTGAAGGCAGGTGAAGAGACTATTTATTATGAAGACCTTGCCCGGGCCATCAGGAATGCCTGACCATTGTTAGCTGATATGGATGTCAGCTGAGACCCTACAGGTTTGATGAGGGATCAAGGCCTGAAATCCACCCAGTAAGATCACAGGTCAGACCCATCAAGCAAATCGGCGAATTCCCAGATCACGTGCTTTCCACCCCGGGCCAGCCCGCCAGCACCAGCCTTGCACTCACTCTGGCCCCACGCCGCTCCACTGCAGCCCTCAGCTGGTCTCGCAGGCGTCTCAGCTGGAGGATCTTGCTCCTCAGAGCGCTTTCCGCTGCCGGTGTGCCCTGTGGCTCTTCGAATTTTTTACGGGATCTAGCTTCTAGTCTTTCCAAGTGAGCTAGAACACCTGAGGGAGGTAAGAAGAGAATCTGTCAAGAAACCGAGGCTTTCTAACTCTGGCCACAGAAAGCATCTCAGGGCCCTAGTTTATAGAACCTGAAGGGCTGACAAGAGAAAGATCAGCAACCTCTTAGCCGACGGAGAGGTACAAGCAGTCCCTCACCAGGACAGCGTCCAACACGGCATCATCTGGACAGAGCCAAGCTCAGCTACCCATGATAATAACCCAGAGGAAAAACACATTCACCAAATTCACCGACTCTCTCAGAAACTGTTTTTTAAAATGCAGAATTGGTTTCTAAGCATGTTTTCCTGAAGTGCTAATGCATAATTCTTTGAAGCTCCGAAGAAATACTAGTGCAGGGCTGTGACGACACGAACTGAAGTGCCCACAAACGTTACAGGGGGTTCCAGGGGAAACACATTCACCACTGGACAGAAACTTGGAGGTAAATGTTCATTTTCTACGGGCTGACTAAGGCACAATATAGGTGCATCTCGTCCTACTGCGCTTCACAGATGTTGCGTTTCTGTTTTTGAAGTAAACTGAAGGCATCAGCCCCAACCAGAGAAAAAATTACAACTCACTTTACAGCAGTGGCCTGGAAGTGAACGGGCAGCATCTCCGAGAGATGTCTGCACAGTAAGGGTCATATTTTTAGAAGGCTAACCAGCTCTTAAGAAAGCGTTTGCTGAGCACTTCCTATATACTAACACACTTGTGCTACCCGATTTACTTGCATAGCATGTGAAAAATTAAAGCATTTATTGACTATTTCCTACACATAAGGCATGTGTTCAATGCTTTGAGAAGCAGGAAAAACGTGGCTTATCTCACTCCCACAGCCACCACCACAATGCTGTATCCCTTTTCCAAGTGAAAAAACTGAAGCAGAGAAAGGTAAAATAGCTTGCCCAAGGCCACAGTATGTATATGGGCAGAGCCAGCACTCAAACCCAGATCTACCCAACTGCCAAAGCCACAGCCTGGCACTCTCACAGAAGTCGGGCATAAAAGGGTCGGGCTAACCCTAACCCCAAAAACCCTGGGAAGAGAGAAAGACACCTGTAGCTCTGAATACAAACACTGAGTATATTATGCATGCAAACTATCACTTTAAAAAGGGGCGGGAGCCTAGAAACATGTGAAGTAGTTTTTCCCTGTCTAATGCTCTTGGCTTACCTGCCCTTTAAGTAACTCTTCAATACAGGCACGTCTCCAGGTAGTACTGCTTGGGTTCCAGACAGCCGCAGTAAAGTGAGTCCTAACTTTTTGCAGGTGGAGGGTTTTGCCTTCAGTTTGGAAAACCCGCAACACCTGTGAGGCGCAATGCGGCTATGCTCCTATTAGTTCCCTTCACTATTCTCCCCAAAAGACCAGATCGCACAATAGCTAGAGGAGGGAAGGGCTCTTCCAGCCTGGCACCTTTGGGCAGCAGTCGGAAGGGCTGGTAAAGACAACCATTTGAATACCTCCTTTGGGCTCGCCCTCTTGCCTTGAGGTATTCGCCAGGTCCATCTCCTCCTCAGATTCTCAAGAGCCTTCCTAGGAAGCTGCCCAGGCACCCAGATTTCCTTGCTGGAAAAAGAAAAAATGGCAAGGAAGTGACATTTAGACAAGTTCAGACGGCAGGGCACACAACTCACTCAACACCCCAATGGCACTGCCAGGACTCTCCTTACCGGACCTGCCCTTTCCCCGGGGGTGTCCAGGTCTCCCTGGCCGGCCCTGCGCGCGGCCCAAGGCACGGCCCCACCGGTTCGCCCGAGGTGCCTTCCAAACGGAAGGAGCTGCAAGAGGCTGCTTAGCCTTCCACCCTGGTCACCGTACTGACCCTGAGTCTGATTTTCTCTTACCTCCTTTCCCCTGGCTCACCCAATCCAGCGACCAGAGTTCCCGCGGTTCTTGTTCAAAACCCAGCCAATCGAACCCAGCATGCTTTGCGCGCAGACCGTACAAAAACATGGCAGCGCTCAGGGCCCCTCCCTGTTCCCGGCATGCACCGGGGAATAGGTCAGGTCTTATTGCTGAGTAGGAAGATGGCGGCATCTGGCGCAGAGCCGCAGATCTTGGTACAATACTTGGTGTTACGGAAGGACCTATCGCAGGCTCCCTTCTCTTGGCCAGCGGGCGCACTGGTAGCGCAGGCCTGTCACGCAGCCACTGCAGCCCTGCACACTCACCGAGACCACCCTCACACTATTGCTTATCTCCGGGAGCTGGGGCGCATGCGCAAGGTGGTCCTTGAGGTGAGGCACCGGATCGCGGGGGTGGGGCGCTCTGGACGTCGGGAACGGAAATGGGTGTGGTCTTAAGTCCGCCAGTGTAATTTCGTGGGGAAAGTAGGGAAGAATCTTCCCCCCCGCCCCCCGGGGCCGCGGGGAGGGAAAGAGACGTCTTTAGCATCTAAGTTTTGGAAGCGGTTCTGAGGGCACTTGAACTACTGCCCGGAGAGAGCTTTCCCTTGGCTGAGGGGTGCCTGACTGTGGAGAGTGGACTTCGGGTTCGTTTTCACTGCTTCGCGCCCCCCTCTGGTCTCACCTGCGTCCCTCTTAGTAAATACCTGTGCGGGAGGAGGCCGGTGGAACGAAACCGGCCTTTCTACCTGTGCGCTGGGCCGGCCCTTCAATGCCCCACGGAGAGTATTGTTCCTCCCCCTTCCCGCAAAACCGATCTGGGATAAGGACACGGGATTCCATGTTGGCAGTGAAGTCAAACGGAAGCACTTATCTGGGCACGACGCCAAATTAGTTGAAAACAAACGTGAACCCTAGAGTAAATTGAACCTAGCGTCAGAAACACCAGGAGTGTGAAATAGTCGTGAGGTCTTCTTTGCAGATGGCCAAACAGATCTTACCCTTACCCTTTGTGATTTCTGCTCTAGAAGTGTTTGCTAAGAAGGTAACCAGGGGCACCCAAAGAGCATTGTACGAGGAGTATTCATAGGAGCACTTTATAATGGTAAAAACTGTGGAAATCACTAAATTTACAATCCTAGGAATAGGTTGTTATGGCCTTATAATGGATTATGAAACTAGTGTAAATCACTTCTGGAGCATATTTAGTTGGATGAGAAAGTGCTCATGATGTGATGCTAAAGGGACCTTCACATCATGATCCAAATTTTGAAAGAAAAACTTAAGGAAATGCATCTGAATATCCAGCAGTGACTGGTGGGATTTTGGTTACTTCTCAGTGCTTCTATTTTCGTTTTCTATGTTAAGCACATATTCTATAATGAGAAAAAAAAGGCTTTTATTTTCAAGCTTTTTCCTTCATAAAATGTATTTCTTTTAATAAATAAGAAACCAAAGCCCTGGGGTGGAGGAGTGGGGTAGTAATCCCTTTATCGGCTAGGTGGCAAACGCAGATTATCTTGCAAGACAAAAATTACTCGGGTGTAGTGAAACGTCCAACAGGAACCTGTAGTATAATGTCTTGAGAATCTATAAATAGGCAGACAAGAAGCAGACAGCTTTTCATTTAGATTCTTTTTATAGGAAGGGGACCTCAAGAAATCACCTGGTTCAGACACCCCCCTCTCCCTCCCCATCCAGCAGATACTGTATTTCCTCTTTCCCCCTCAGAGGAGACATAGGAAGCCCACAGGTTACCCCCCGGGTTTAAAAGACACCTGGTGATTCCTTGTTGTTAGCCACGACTCAAGAAAGGGACTTAGGAGTCACCACTGATTAAATTAAGGTGCCGCTGTAGCTGCAAAGACCAGAAAATATATGCCAAGATACCCATGTGCCAGGCACAAACCTGAGCCTAATTTCATCGAATCCTCACTACTACCAGGAAGCAGCGTCACCTCTGTTTTATGAAGGGGGAACAAAGGTCCGGCTAAGTCAATAAACTTGAGAAAGATCACACCATCAGTGAGTGGCAGGGCAAGGGTTGGGACTCGGACTATGGTGCTGCCTGGTGCGGTGCTGAAGAAGGGGGAGTTGGCAGAGAGGGGAGACTCTCAATTCTCCTGGAGAATCCTCCTGGCTCTCCCTGGAGGATTCGGTAGCGTTGTCGCTCAACCCCCACACCCTCTCATTTGAAAAACCACACTTGCAGTCATCATAGTGACTTATGCCTTCGCAGGGAAAAAGACACCTTATGCAACATGACATACTGCTTTATTTTCTGAATGATAGTTTTAATACTGACTGTAATGGGCTTCGGCATGGGTGGTAAGGGCGGTGAGGACAGAATTTCCAAAGTTTGGAAATTACAGAATAGTTTGCCTTCCCTTGAGTTAACTAGTGGGAACTATCCCAGAGGGAAAATCCTAGGTTTGGGTGGAGGAGGGTGGGAGGGTAAGAGGGAGGTGGAGGTGGTGTGATTTCAGAAATCCTTCTAGTTGGAGTCAACTCTTAAAGTCAGAGCTGGCTGAAATATTAGGATATTTGGGCACCAGCCATAAGAGAACTAGAAAATGTGTAATGCAAATACTGATAATGCACACAGCATCTCCAGGAAGAAGAGAAATGTCTCCATTTTATAAGCAGGAATATTAAGCATCCCCCCTTCTTCCCCTCTGCCCCCCAGCCCCACCCAGCCGCTGGGCAGCTCACCTAAGGTCCTACAGAGAGAGAATGGAACATGCAGCAATGAAGCTGTTGCTTTTGGAGACATGCTCTGCAGCTCCTTTGGGAGAGCTGTTCCTCCACTTCCAGTTAGGAGGAAAGCCCCTCCCCCACACTCTTTGTTCACTGAGTTGACATTTCCTAAATGAGCTGTTCAGTCTGTGTTTTGTGTTCTGCTTCTTGGAGGCCCCAGATGAGACCACCCTAAAGGAGCTGGCTGAGACCCTGCAACAGAAGAGCGTTGAGCACGTGCTGTGGCTGGAGCAGCCGGAGAATGTCGCCACTTGCCTGGCACTCCGTCCCTACCCCAAGGAAGAAGTGAGCCAGTATTTGAAGAAGTTCCGATTGTTCAAATGACTGATGTCACCGAGACTTGCTTTGGTACCTCTGGTGTCAGCTGGATCCAGAAACTGGGCCGTCCATCCCTAAGCATCACATACTCTTTTCAGTGGCAACTCGCTCTTCTGTTAAGTTACGACAGTTTCTTGAGGGTCAAACACATGCTCACATTAAAGTGGTCACTAATAAGTACTTCTCTTTGTTTTTAATCCTCCCCCGAGGACATGCCTATTGATTTTAGAGCAAGGGGAAGGGAAGGAGAGAGGAAAGGGAGAGAAACACTCACATGAGAGAGAGACATCAATGGGTTGCTTCTTCTATGTGCCCCAACCAGGGACTGAAGCCTCAACTGAGCCATGTGCCCTGACTGGGAATCGAACCCACCACCTTTTGGCAACTGAGCCAGATGGGGAAAGCAGGTGAGCAGCAATTTTGTTTATGGGTCATTGCTCAAATAGAACACTTGGTTAGACTCCCATACAGGAATCAAGGAAATGCCTTTCCATTTTTGTTAGGAATAATAGAGTTCTTCCAATAATCCAGGTTTAAAACTTTGCCTTTGAATTCCTTATTTCTTATTCATATCCAGTTATTGTTGAATCTAAGACATCAACTCTAAGATACACCATTATTTTATGTGTTAAGAACTGCCAATTAAAGATATGCAATTGACCGTAAGATGTATTTTAATTTCAAATATGTTAAAATACACATACTTCTTCAAGTGGATGAAATTGGCCGAGTACTGAATCTATTTTCTCGCAGTTGCAGGTGCTGCCGCCCCGTGTTAGGCTCTCTCGTGGCTCATCCGAGTGCCCCACTGGTCCGCTCACCTCCAACGTGTCCTGGGTGCAGCCCCGCAGACGCTCTGCTGTGGGTTCCTGCAGGGGCACCGAGCACCCTGTTTGGTTCAGGCTCCAGCTTGCCCGTGGAGTGAAATCAGAGCTCCTCAGTCTCTGGTCTGGGAGCTGAATGTCCGTACCCGCCCCCCTCCGCCCCCGACTGCACTTAAACTATTTCTGGCTGGAGCGCTGTACCTTCACAAGTCTTACCAGCCAACATGAGCGTTACCTTCTCTGAACGTCTGTAACACTGTAGCATTTAAAATGTTGCTGTAAGCATTTGGAGACACCGACTGAAATCACCTGGATACCTGTGAAGCAAAGTTTGTCAAGGGCAATTTGTTCAACGGATATGTTGCATGTCTACTGTGGCAGGCTATCCCAGGGGCTGAGGATGTAAAGATGAAAGTTTTTACTCTCAGGAAGCTAAGAATCTCGTGAGAAGACAAATAAAAATAACAGAAATGTATGTGGGAATAATGAGTTTACCTTTCTCCCCACGTCCCCTAGATACCAAGACTACTGCCATACTACATAATGGCGATTTTCCTTTATAAGGGATGGTCACTTGAAATTAGGAGAGTGGATGGGGAGAATTAACAGTGCTGAGGGCAGAACCAGCCCCCACCCCTGCCCCCCGCAGGATGACAAGTGAACAGTTTCAAGGAGGGAGAGTGATCAAGTGCAGCATAGAATTTCATAAGTAAGAACTGAAAACATTCAGCAGTTGGGAATGCATTGGTTAACTTGGTGCAAGCAGTTTAAACAGCACGTGAGGGTGGGCATGAGATTGGAGGCTATTGAGACAGTAACGGGAAGAGAGGTACGAGGTGGGGACTCTTCTTTCCAGCTTGAGTGGGAGCAGTGGGTAAGGACTGAATGGGGGCTGGAAAGGTGGATGCTGAGTCCCATAGAGGGAAGTTTCTTAGAGACTTGAGCAGGTTGGTGGGTGAGAAGAAGGGTAAGAAGAGACTGAAGGCAGTAAATAGAATAACTGATGAAAGAAGTCTGGAAAAGTGTGGGAAGAGGTGGGATCATGGGCATAGGGAAGGACTGGTCTTGAACCGAGAAGAAGAGAGAATCCTTCGTTTTGGAGACTGGAGGAAAGGAAGCAGAGGAAGCTATGGGTATCTCTAAGTGTATGAATTCAAGGAGGAAGAAAGTGGAAGTTGATATATCTGTTGACCTAATTCTATTCTATGCAGTAGGAAGCATATAGCCTTCTATAACATTGAACAAACATTGCTCACTGTATTACATAGCCCAGCGGTTAAGGGTTCAGACTAGTTCACGTTAAATGGCCCGAATCCAAATACTGGCTCTCATACATTCAAGCTGCGTGGACTTGGTGGGGCACCCAGCTTCCCTGAGCTCCAGAACCTTCATCTGTGAAACAGGGACTTACAGGGGTGCTAGGTGGGCCGAACGTGTTATTGGTACAAAGCCCTTAGGACAGTGCCTGGGCAGCTGGTGCTAGAACCTCAGCATAAAAATGTATTTTTTTTAAGATACAGCCCTCAAAGAGCTGCCTTCAAAGAGCTTTTGGCCAAGTTAGCCAGTCGCCTGATTCCTCTTCTGCTAAGGAGTGATAGCACCCAAGAATCCGCAAGCACTCCTGCTATTCCCATTCGAGACGATTAGGAACGTGTTTCCAAATGACGCTGCATCTTAAAATAATTAAAAAAAAATTCTGAATTCTGCAGTGAGACATAATGATAACACGAGAGAGAGAGAGAGAGAGAGATGTAAGTCTACACAACTGGGAATGAACTGCTCGGGCAAATCCCTGAGGTGGAGATCTGAGCACAAAACTTAAAGTGGGGAAAGGAGAGGCCCTCCTTCTGACCCAGCGCGAGAGCAGGACAGTAGCGGGGAAGTTGCAGATTTTCCTGTCAGTGTCAGCTAAGACCATTATCATTTGAAGTGTATCAGTGGTTGTCAAAGTGTGGTCCCTCGAACAGTGTCACTTGGGCACTTGTTAGAAATACGGTCCACATTCTCCACGGAATCGGACACTGGTATTATCTAGAAGCACTCTGGGCCCAGGAGGCAGCCAACCTAAAAGGTGAACAATGACTGTGTGTGATTTAGAAGCAACACATTCTAATAGTGTATAATGTGCTTACAGAAAGGAGTCAGGATGAAGAGCAAGAATGTGGCACCAACTACACACACTACCCCTGGTGTTGCACACCAAGTTAACAACAACAAAAAGACGTATTCTTTTTTTTTAAAGGGTATTTATTTTATTTTTTTATTTTTAGAGAGGGAAGGGAGGGAGAGAGAGAGAGAAACATCAATGTGTGGTTGCTGGGGGTCATGGCCTGCAACCCAGGCATGTACCCTGACTGGGAATTGAACCTGCAACACTTTGGTTCGCAGCCCGCGCTCAATCCACTGAGCTACGCCAGCCAGGGCAAAAAGACGTATTCTTCAACAGAGCAAAAACTATGCTGCAAGCCCCAGAATAGATGATAAATCCTTGATAAGAATCTACTATGCTTTATATGTTTCTTATATGTAAAAATGTTTTATAATTAACAAAGTGTGTCCAGACGTGTGGGTCAAGCCTGACAATTTTATGTTGCAGGCAGTCTTGTCTCAAGTTTAAATTCAGAAAGCCTCTGACTTGCCCAAGATCAAAGTCAGTGGCAGGACCAGGATTGAAAACCAGGTTTTTTTGTCCATCCAGTTTTCTCTTAACCTCTCACAGGGGGTCACCTATTTGCTTCCAGGTATCTCAATACTAGAGGGCGGTTGTCGAAGCACTGGGAGGCCGTCTTCCATTTTATATTCGTTAATTGACATTCTGGACTATAAATCATCCTCCTGTGACTGTGAGTTGTATGACCCAATACCCTAGGGCCCAATTATCACTGGATGAGCTGACAAAATTGAGTTTCTGAACTTGCAAAGCTGAGAACCAGTGTCGAGGTCATTGTTTCTCATGGGGCTGACAGAATGCAGAGGGCTCCCCTCGAGGTGCTTGTTAAGAGCACGTTTGAGTGCCGTTCTACATACATCTGCCCCACAGGCTCTGAGCTGCCATCCTTGGGGTGTGTTCTGCGCTTCCTGGTTGAGCATCCTGGCAACAGCGAACCACTGTCATTGATGGGAAGGTGTTAGTGTGGAAAAGTGGCCGAGGGCCGCTGCCCTTGGCTACCATTACCTCACAAGTTTTAGCTGTCCGCCGAGGTCAAGTTTGGCACAGAGGAGGGAACTAATCTAAGTATGGGGACAAGTAAAGTCTTCTTTGAAAGGGCATCTACATTGAAGTCTTGAAAGGCAAGCCAGAAGATAGAAGGAGCATTCCAGGCTAAGGAATGAAAATGAATATGGACGTGGACGTGAGAACATAGATAATAAGTTAAAAAATTAAGACCATTTGTTTAGAGAGTATGGAAGGTTATGGTACTTAAAATTAAAAGGTAGAGTGATTTCAGATCAACTATAGGCAAGAAGCAGTCACTAATAGACTCTGGAGGCTGTGTTTAGAAAGATTTCTTTGATGACTGTTAAAGTTTGAATGTAAGAGGCATGAAGGTGGCTATTGAATCATCCCAAAAGATAATTAAGTCCTGATTTTGGTCTGTGACTAATAGGGTTAGAAAGGAAAAGGTAGCCATGAGATGCTACAAAGGATAACTCTTTGCAGTTTGGTGAGATGAGTGGGAGGAGGCTGTTGAAAATGACCGTGAACAGAATGATGATGTAATTCATTCAGGTAAGGGACACAGGAACTCATTTGTGGGGAAGTTAGTTATTTGCTTCGGGACTTAAATTTGAGGTGCTGGGGAGTGGGGACCCATCCATGTGGCAATTTTCACATTTGAAAATCAAGACAGGATTTTAAGAGAGATCTTGGCTACCAGAGTGGACTGAAGATGCACATAAATGTAAGTGGTACTGAGTTCAAAGGAAAAGAAGAAAGAAAGAGTATAGGGATTCTTTTCAGAATCATGACCCTCACATAAATTTAAAATGGGAAAAAAATCAGTACTTCAACAAATCCAAAGTTAGTGTCCAGTTTACTTTCCAAATGGAAACCCTGCCAAACTTCTAAGGAAGTTTGAGTTCTAGAGAACAATTTTTAACTCATCAGTTTTCAACTGAGTTAAAAAGGGGCCCTGGCTGGTATAGCTCAGAGGATTGAATGCGGGCCTGCGAACCAAAGGGTCGTCAGTTCGATTCCCAGTCAGGGCACAGGCTTGGGTTGCAGCCCAGGTCCCCAGTTGGGGGAGCACAAGAGGCAACCACATATTGATGCTTCTCTCTTTCTCCTTCTCTTCCCTTCTCTCTAAAAATAAATAAAGTCTTTTCTTAAAGAAATGGTCTCCTGGTGCTTTTCTC